ATTATGGATTTTTCTTTTTTTTTTTATTATTAAAATGAAACTAATCATGAGTATCCTGCACAGTGCAGTCTCTAAAAAAATACCAGAGCCCAGAGGCATAAAACTCTGTGCAGACTCACAAATAAAACTGTGTGAATAAAGCCATCTGTGCTCTTTTACCTTCTTAGTCATCATGAAATGTTATGCACATGCACAAGCCTCATTTTGGTTCTGGTCTTTAGCAATAAACTCATCATTAACATATAAAAGTCACTCTATTGCACCTCGAGCTATTAATGGAGCAATTAAAAAATCATTTGAAGAAGAAGAGGTGGAGAAAAGGAGATGTGGATTCGCTGGTCTCACTTCTGCAACTGTGCAGTTCAGAGCAAAGGACTCTGGCAGAGGTCGGTAAGTATGTAAGCTACAGCTGTGTGTAGTACCCAGAATTCATTAGTGAATAAGAATAAGAATCATATGATAACAAGAAATGGAAGTAAAAATCACAGTTTTGCAGTATCAGGCTTGACTTGCTACTTGCTCAAAAATCATGTGTATGCATGGTCTGATGTCTTTATGTATGTCTTAATTTATCAAAACTAGTTTTTGTGTGTATGTGTATTTATGTTTATAAAAAAGGTGTGCATGTTTTTTCTATGTTATTTAAATTCGGGGTCCTTTTGTCTGTGTTAGCATCCCTGGATATCAGTTTTGGGAATGTTCCTTTGTAGTTTAATTCCACTGAGTCATCCTCAGCAACGGTGATCTGTTTAATTTGGGTGTGAACATGTTTGCCTGGTGCAGCACTGCAGGGGAGGAAGCTGACCAGCTGACCATCTTCACTCCCACAGCAGGAGCAGGACCATCTGCCTCTCCCTCCCATCACAGACATCACTGTCCTACTGCTCGCTTTCTTTTACACCGCCAAGAGAAATAAAGAACTAAAGATGGGGGTTACCTGTCTGAAAGCCTCGCCGTCACTCTTGCCAGCCTGCTGAGCAATAAGCGTCAACTTCTTGTTCTTCTCGTTCCTCTTATGTACTTTATAGATGCAGGAGAGCAGGCACGCCAGCAGCATGAGGGCAACCACGCCCAGCAGCGAGAGGATGGCCAGAGTCAGGGGAGGCAGCTTATAAGCTGAGCGAGACAGACGAGGACGGGTAAGGAAAAAACAACCATGGCGAGAAATAATGAGTCTTCTGTGACAACAGGAATGATGCTTCAAAACCCTGAAAGAACAGATATCAGCTTTCATCTCTGCCTCCTTTGAATCTCATCATTTTCTGTTGTTAACACGTCAGTCATCCGTGCACATGTGCATCGCCCGCATAAAACTGATAAGAAATAAATAAGAATTTAACATCCTGAACTATAATACAGAAAAGCACAACTGCAGAGCCATGATAAATATCATGCGTTTTCTCCTCAGGAGGAATTAAACGATCAGATGTGGGGATTTAAGGTACTAATATCCACTTGCATTTATTATATTTATAAATATGACTCACAAATGTTAAACTGGATGTATTACAGTAAAATGTCACCAATTTTTATTTATTATTCATTGGTTTCTGCTCTTCTGATTCTCTTTGTATTACACTTTATATAAAAATAGAAATACATCGAGGGCACGCAGAGACATAAATGTCAGCAGCCTGCAGTGTTGTACATCCTTCAGCATGTTATTGCTTAAATTATTAATATTTATGACTACGCTGTGACACAGAAAGACCAGCTTCGGTGTCTGATCTTTAAAAAAGGGAAAATCAGAAATGAATGTATAACAGCTGTATGTAGCCTCTGGACCTGAAATGCTAAGCTGCAAAAAATGCAGGAAAAAATGCTTTTTTCATTTCCAGCAGGGGGCGACTCGTCTGGCTGAGGAAGTTATCTCACAGCTCAGTTCATCTATGACTCAGCAAACACTTTCCTAATGAGTTTTTGATTTGAAATGCAGGCTTCAAG